ACTGTATGTGTCGCTGATCTTCTTCTGTCGGTTCAGCTGTGGCTTCCAGAGGAGCTTCAGAGAGGATTCCAACTACCTCTCTCTAGTCATCAGTCCTCAAGGATGCCTCATCGACAGCCTGCAGCACTACTTCAAAGTGAGTGACATCACTGATGACATCACATCAGCAGGAGGATGCAGATTCTGAACGTTTCTGATGTCTGTGTTGTTTGTTTTCTCCAGACATCTTCATTTGAATGCTCCTGCAGCGAGTGTGCCGGCAGTACGGCTTCGGAGGCGTTGGAACTAATCACTCTGCCACGGTACAACACCTTGTTAATCAGTCTGAATCCTGAAGAATTACTAAAGATGAACTAGTCTATAACTTCTGAATCTCTCTACAGGGTGCTTGTCCTTCTGGTCATGCGCTTTGACATCACATCCTCAATGCGCAAGATGAAAAATTCACTGGAAGTTCCAGAAGACTTTGCACTGTCCTGCGGTAAAGGTACGGGCCAGTCCATCAAACATCTGCCCTCTGCTGGACACCTGCGGAACAATCACCCGAATTACTCTAATAAAAGACAGTGTCAGGAGGGCATTTGCTCTGAAAAACTGCTTTTCAAAGATGTTTAAGCGTTGAATACTTACTGAAATGTTTTCTTATTTGATGTATGATCTTCAACAGAGAGCAGAGAGATGAGAGTGATAAAGAGAAAAGGCCCGAATCAACAGCAAGAGAGAAGCAAGAAAGATAGGGTTGAGACTGCAGGACAACAGGAAAGATATAGACAGCAATTCAATTGATTGATAGATAGATAGATAGATACATAAAACCAATGATAGAACAACCGAACAGTAAATAGAACCATAGATAGATTATACAGAATGATAGAATTATAAAATTAAAGATAGAACCGCACACATATATATATATATATATATATACAGACAGACAGATAGATAGAAAGATATAGAACTTTAAATTGAACATTATACAGAATGCTATATAGACCGATTGATTGATACACAGAATGATAAAATGACTGTACGAACAAATGATAGATACATGATAGACAAATAGATATATATACAGATGGATAGATAGATAGATCTTTAAATAAAGATTATACAGAATGCTACATAGAACAATAAAATGACCGTACAAACAAATGATAGATAAATGATTATACACAGATTATACACGATGATAAAACAATAAATAGATAGGATGATAAAACTAATGATAGAATTACAGTATGTATGATAGAACAATAGAATGGTAGACAGAATGAACGATAGATCACCATCTAATAATCCGTGTTTGTGTTGAACAGGTGGAAGCATCAGACGGCGGCAGCAGTGCTCAGTACACACTAGCTGGAGTCGTGTCTCATCTGGGCAGTAGTTTGTATTGTGGTAAGGGCTTCTTCTGTATTTTCAGTCGTCTCATTCACTCATTCAGCATCACACTAAAGCTCCTGTGTCGTGTAGGGCACTACATCAGTCACATCCGTGACTTCACCGGATCCGGATGGCTGGAATGCAGTGACACCAGCATCAGAAGATCCAGCTGGTCGAAGGCGTCGAGTAACATCGGGAAGAACGGATACATGCTCTTCTACATGAAGAGGTAAATATCACCACATTACTAGTGCTCAGATATTACTTACTGCTCAGTTCTCTTATATTGAGTCACTGTTGTATTGTACCTGTAGTTGAGCAGCAGCTGGTTGATGCAAGGGAAGGGAATTACATCTAAAGCCAAACATTTGCTTGGTGAAGATCCTTCTGTGGTTCCTCCGGCTCATCCGTCTCCCTCAATTCCTCCTCAACATCCTGGGAATCGCATCGCTCCACCTGTTAAGGACTGTACAGGTCGACATTGTCTTCATCAGTGGTTCCACACGCAATCCCAGGAAAAGCAGGCTGTGCCTAATTGGCTAGTTGTAGGCCTGTCGCGATAATCAATATATCGACTTATCGCGCGATATATGGAAATGAGCCGCGATATATTGCGACTGATAATTTTTTTTATAATTAAAAATAATTATTTATATTTTTTACATAAAAATGAATGTCACCAACTTTTTATTCTATCGCGCTGCCTCTGTTATCTCGTCTGCTCTCTGTGGCGGAGGCGGGGCTCAGGCAGCGTCTCCACACACACACACACACACACACTCACACACACACTCACTCACTCACTCACTCACTCACTCACTCACTCACTCACTCACTCACTCACTCACTCACTCACTCACCTGGATTGAGCCTTTCATACTATATTATAATACTTTTGCACATGATAGGACAGAACAAGAAAGCTATTAATAATTGAATGTATAGCACAGTAATGGAGGCAGCAACATATGATAGATATGACTCCTATCTATCTTCACTCATGATTTTTCTAGAATAATCTAACCTAGTTTATAATAGTATTATTTTCATTTATTTGTTATTTTTTATTAAAATTAAGTTGTCAATATTTAGTAGATTGTGTTTAACACACAAAAGAAGAGACGATCGGGTCAACACACAGAAGTACATTAATTCTACATTGATTTTGTCTTAAAATAGCAATAATCTCATTTATCGCAATTCATTTTGGTGCAATATATCGCACAAGAAAAAGTAGTTATCGTGACAGCCCTAGCTAGTTGCATACAGCGGGTGTGTGCATAGACACCTGCGGTTTTGCTAAATGCCAGTGCAGAGAGCCAGAGAAACCCGAATCTTACCTATTATATATGTTTACAAGATCTATAATATCACTAAAAATCCAGCTAAGATTTATATTACTAATAGTATTATTCTATTAATGTTAATCGAGCCAGTGGCATTTGAAACTTGTGTATGTTTGGGTCAGGACACAGATGTATAATTTTACACTATGTATAAAAACAAGTAAACATTACATTGCATCCTTACCCATCAATAAATGTTATTTATCAAAAATGTTTAAATTACATGCATTTTTTCGTGTAATAGGCTATTTTAACTGAAACACATTTGTCTTGTGAGACATAGGCTGCAATCTTCAGAAATATGTGACCCTGGAGCACAAAAGCAGTCTTAAGTCGCTGGGGTATATTTGTAGCAATAGCCAACAATACATTGTATGGGTCAAAATTATAGATTTTTCTTTTATGCCAAAAATCATTAGGATATCAAGTAAAGATCATGTTCCATGAAGATATTTTGTAAATGTCCTACCGTAAATATATCAAGACTTTTCTTTAACAGTTTTACATAGTTCTCTTTGCACCAAACATATTATATATATATACACTGCTGTTCAAAAGTTTGGGATCAGTGAGATTTTTAATGT